CTCTGCCCCTGCCCCCCACTCACTCTTTCTAAAATAGAATAGGATAGAATAGAATAGAGAGAATAGACTAGAATAGACTAGACTAGACTAGACTAGACTAGACTAGACTAGAATAGAATAGAATAATGTGAGCACTTGTTTTGATGAGCACTGGGTGTTGTATGTATGTGATACATCACTAAATTCTACTCCTGAAATCAATATTGGACTATATGTTAACGGTTTAAATAAAATTTAAATAAAAATTTTAAAATTAAATAAGTATTTAAAAAGAAAAGAAATCCTTTTAGAAACTTCCGTTCTATTCCCACAACTTAAAAATATAAAATCAGGGGCACCTGGGTGGCTCAGTTGATTGAGTGTCCAACTTCAGCTTACGCCATGATCTCATGGTTCATGAGTCTGAGCTCCATGTTGGGCTCTGTGCTGACACCTCAGAGCCTGGAGCCTGCTTTGGATTCTGTGTATCTCTCTCTGTCCCTCCCCCACTCACGATTTGTCTCTCTCTCTCTCTCCCCCTCTCAAAAATAAATAAACATTAAAAAGTTTATGGGCAGAAACCCATAAGGACTCACAAAAAAGTGTCAAAATCTACCCCACTTCTCTTCACCTTTATCTTTTTCTCAACGTTAGTTACTAAGGGTTTAAGATTAACAAGAATATATTATCTTTTTTGAGTCCTCATGAAACTCATAATAGATTTTAAAGTTTATTTATTTATTTTGAGAGAGGGAGAGAGAGCAGGGCAGGGACAGAGAGAATCCCAAGCGGGCTCTACGCTGTCAGCACATAGCCTCACTGGAGCCTCAATCCCACAAACTATGAGATCAGTCATGACCTGAGCCAAAATCAAGAGTCGGACACTCAACTGACTGAGCCACCCAGGCGCCCCTACCCTTTTAAGTTTATTTATTTATTTTGAGTCAACCTCTAATAGATTTCATACACCTTAATTTACAAACAAGATCCTAACAGTTCAAGTAACACAGGTAGAAAGTCCTCTGCTGTTCATCATCAAAAAACAAAATTCAACCAAGAAAATGTTAACATCTAATTGGCTCAATTCTTGAATTGGGCAGCATGACATCTAGCAAGTAGAGGGAGTTTTGGAGGAGATGTACAGAATGGAAGGTTTTTATTGGAATTCCAGAAGGTGGGGCAAGGAGTTATATCAGCAAAGGGAAAGGATTATCCCAGGCAAGATCACTTTCTGGTGGGGAAAGTGAAGGGGGTCATATCATGCAGATTACTTCATTCCCCTTGAGGGGAGAGCAGTGGAGAAGACAGATTCCCGGTGGCACTGATCAGAAAATTCCTCACTGAGTGTTAAGACTTAAATTTCTAGGGAAGACTGATAACTGCAATTAGATTAGGTATCAAGCCCTGGTTTGGTGACTTGGCCCAAGTGAGGCCGTTTGGGGCCTATCATTTTTCTTTTCAACAATTTGCCCCCTTTGATCAGATTCTCTTAACTGGGAGAGGTGATCTGAATTGAAGGCACTAGAGTCGCTCTTGGCTCCACTCCCAGAGCGTGTATGAATCCTTTGCATGGTATTCACGGGTCATGATGTTTTTTGCTGATTCTCTGTGATATTCACAGGCTACAGCTTGAGGTTTGCAAACCCTAAGTCAGCTGTTGCCTTCACTTCTCTTCCAGGCTCAGGGAGGTCATCTGCTTGGTACTTAGTGGCTGTAAATAGGCATTGAAAGCTTTTGTGGGGATATACTGCACCAGGGAGGTTATTATGATAATTATTAGCAAGGTAAGTCCAATATTTGAGTGAACTTCAGAGCCATGGTCTCCAAGGCCCACACCAATCAAAGACTCCATTGAAAGAGTCACACTTTTTTTTTTAATGCTTATTTATTTATTTTTGAGAGAGACAGAGACAGAGACAAAGTATGAGTGGGAGAGAGGCAGAGAGAGATGAAAACATAGAATCCGAAGCAGGCTCCAGGCTCTGAGCTGTCAGCAGAGTCCAACATAGGGTCCAAGCCCACAAGCTGAGTCGTGAGATCATGACCTGAGCTGAAGCTGAACGCCCAACCAACGGAGCCACGCAGGCACCCTGAGTCTCACTTTTTAAAAAAAAATATATTTATTAATGTTTTATTTACTTTTGACAGAGAGAGAGAGAGATAATGAGCAGAGGAGTGGCAGAGAGAGATAGAGGGACAAAGGATCCAAAGCGGGCCCTGCACTGTCAGCACAGAGCCCCATGTGGGGTTCAAACTCACAAACTATGAGATCATGACCTGAGCTGAAGTTGGATGCTTAACCGACTTTCGGGGTGCCCGAAAGAGTCACACCCTTTAAAGTCAAGTGGCTTGTTCAGTGACCTAACATAAAACAGAAACGAGTTCAGCCTCCCCAGACATATTAATCCAGATACAGCAGGTGATGTTAGCCGCAGTGCAGACATCTCCTTGCTCAGGTAAAAGAGCCAATTGTCACTCTGGAAGCTTCTGTCTTGAGTTTGGGGAAAAAAAACATGGCGGACCCCCAGACCCTCAAGTGGGAAGACAGGGGACACTGGAGGGCTATCTGGTGCACAGTCCACCTGGATAACCAGAATAGGCTATGTGGGGCTGGGGGTTGTGGTGAGAGGGGGACCAGAGCAGGAAGTGTCTCTGGCTCCCCCGGAACGAAAAGCAAGACCATGGAGGTGGGGTTTGGAATCCACCCGACCACAGCAGTCTCCTGTAAGGCTTTCTGCACTTTGTGAGGCCTCTCCTCCTCGGTTTTCCTGTTTAAATAGTGAGGATAATATCTATGTCAATGGGTTGTTATGAGGATTAAATCCCACATGATATTAAAGACCTAGCAGAGTGTGCGTTTCACGAGGCATGCACTTACTTTTCTCCGCCCAGCCCTGCCTCACGTGCATGCACGTAAGGCGTCCCCCTTCCTCCCAGGCGGAGGGCCTGGGATGTGCCCTTCAGCAGACCCCAGTGCCAAGCGACACCACAGGGAGAGTGTGTACATTGAGTCCCCGCCTGCCGCAGGAGGCCAAGGTCAGGGACCGGGCAGCTCCCGTGACTCCCCCGGGTTCCAGTGTAAAAATGACAACAACAGCGCAGGAAATACCATGGCTGCAGCAGAAAACCCTGGGGCCTGGCCTCGCACATTGTATTTTCTGGCCCAGAGAAGAGGCATTGTAGAACTTAAACAAATAAACAACAGTTTGGGCCTTGAACTCAAAAGACTCTTGGCATCCTTATGTTTCTAACCCCAGCCGCTGCCTTCCCCATTGCTCAGGCCAGAATCCAAGTGAATTCTTTGATTCCTCTCTTTCCCTCACCTCTACACCCACCTTGGCAAATCCTGTCCCTTTGCTTTCTCAGCAGGGTTTCCAGGGAACCCTCACCCTCTCACTGCCCAGGCAACAAGCTCTGTCTCCTGAGCGATCCAGAGCCTCTGCCCCCCTTCCCCCCTTCAGCAGTGCCCACCCCAGGCCCACCTTGTCCCCACCACAGCTAAGAGTGGCTTTTTACCATGGAGTGGCCTCCATCACCATTCCCTCACCCTTTACTAAGAATCCATAAAGCTTCACCTTACCTTCACTGGCTGCCACAGTCCACAAGGGTAGGCACCAACCACAGTGTCGGTCACTGGTGGGCCATTCCAGCCCAGGGTCAGGCACAGAGTAGTGCTCAGCGGACACTGGTTAGACAACCGTGCGTGACTGACCTTGAGAAAGAAGGAAGAATAAACGAAGGGCGTCACACAGCCCGGCACCCTTCTCTGACGCTCCCAGATGCGGTGCCATGGGGGGGTGGGGGGGGTAGGGAGAGGGCCCGAGCGGAGACCCACGTATGTGGCCTCAGGCTGGCTTGGAGCGCCAGGAATGCCCCAGGGAACCTAGAGTGCTGAGCTTTCCAGAGAACATCACGCCAGCTCCCGGCCCCTGGGCCGTCCGTCTCTGTCCACTCACCAGCAAAGGCTCACGGAGCGCCCGCTATGTAACAGGCATTGTCCAGAGCGCAGCTGTGACCGCACAGTCCCTGCTGTCATGCAGCCTACATTCCAGGGGTGGGAGTGAGGCCTCAGACAAGCAAGAAACCAACAGATGGGCCCGTAACTGCAGAGTGGGATGGCGGGAAGCAGGGCGCTAGGACGGAGAATCTCATCCTCCGATGGGGTGGGCGGGGGTTGGGCCGCTCACTTCCTCTGTTCAGCCTCCTCATCTGTGAAATGGGCTGATGACAATCCCTCCCCATAGGGCACTGTTAACTCAGAAGTCAGGTCCAGACCTCCGTGGCCTGCATGATGGCCTGTTCCCAGCTCCCTGAACTCATCCCCTCCCCTCTACCTGAACCCTCCACCGCCGCTGGTCTCCCTGCTGCCCCTCAGGCCAGGCAGCACATGGGCCAAACTCCATTCACTTCCCAATCACACCTAGGGCAGCCCCGTGGCCAGACCCACTGTGAACGGCCAGCTCAGTGTCCCTGCCACCCCCACATACTCAGGACACGGGCAGCTGAGTACAGCCACAGGGTCCTTCCAAGGGACTTTTCTTTTTTAATTTTTTAATTTATTTCTGAGAGAGAGAGAGAGAGAGAGAGAGAGAGACATCATGAGCAGGGGAGGGTCAGAGGAGGCACAGAATCCGAAACAGTCTCCAGGCTTTGAGCTGGCTCTCAGCACAGAGCCCGACACGGGGCTCAAACCCACGAACCATGAGATCATGACCTGAGCTGAAGTCGGACGCTTAACCGACTGAGCCACCCAGGTGCTCCCACAAGGGACTTTTCTAGTGCTGCCGGCAACCACACATGGACACCTTGTTAATAGCCTACTTCCTTGTGCATATGCGGGGCTGTCTGTTGGGGCTTGTACTCCCTCCATAGATGTTGTGTTTTATGTTGTACATGAAGCAATAAATAGGGGGTCAGTTTTGCTCTAGATGCACCACAAAACTTCCTCTGAAGATCTGTGTAATTTCCTTTCTTTGTTTTTCTGCCTCCCCCTTCCCAACACTCATGCAGCACCTACTGTATGCAGACATCAGGCCAGGGACAGCATGGAGAATCACATGTGTTAACAGCTAATGCTAACAGAGAGCAGAGTAAAAGGGAGGCTAAGACACGCAGCGTCCTGCGCGTCCGGAAGAACTGATTCATTCCAGCCGCTGAGATCAGGGAAGGTTTCATGGAGGAGGCGGCACTGAGCTGAGCTTACCGAAGGCAAGCCTGGGAGGCAGCTGACAGAAGGGCTAGGGCAAAGGCCAGGGCTTGGCCCCTGCTAGTCTGCCATGGGGCAGCTTGGTCATGGTCACGGTCACTCGGCAGAGCAGGGCAGAGGGTGTGTGGGCCTGGGGAAAACAGCGGTGGTGCCAGAACTTGATAGCTCTTCTCGACCTGGGACAGAGGCCGCTGGGGAAGTGATTCCTATTGTTTCTGTTTCCTGCTCAGGGGCCGGAGGGGAGGAGGCGGCTGATTGTCAAAGAGGCCTTGAGAGCTTCTTAAGAGGTCAAGAGGGAGGAAGAATAGGAAATGGCCCCCTTGAAGAAAAAAGGTAAGCAAGGATCAAAGTAAACAAGATGGGGTTTTGTAAGAGGGAAGCTGCCAGAAAATCCCTCAGACTCAGAATGCCAGGGCAACGAGATACTAATCATGCACCATCCACGTCAACCCAGGCCCAGAGAGGTAAAGGGACTGGTTCAAGGTCACACAGCCGATCGCTTTCCTAACTCCTTGTACGGTGCTCAGATTGCTTCCTGAGCCAGTAGAAGGGAAGACCTAGATCCCTTCTCCCTCCAGAATCCTGTGTTAGCAGAGGGACGCCTCCCAGCTCCCAGCCAGATGGGGGCGTTCCCTGCCAGGTGCCCACAAGGACTTCATGGCCAGGGTCTCAGCAGGGGTCCAAGGCAGGGGCTGCCGCCCAACACTCCCAGTCTTGGAGGTCAAGGCACATTTCTGCCCAGCAGCTTTCACCTCCAAGGCCCGGAAAATCCTCGCTACCTGGCTCCGGCCCCAGCCAACCAGACCGGGGCAGGCCGTGCTCACGGCAGAAGGCATCTCCTCTGTAAAGGCCTCCCTTTGTCAAGGTCAGTGTTGATGACTCAGGGAGGGGTTGCTGCCCTCTCCCCACCACTCCCCAGATGCCCCTCTCCAGCCACGCCATCACGCTCTTGTCTCTCCCCTTTGAGCCTTTGTACATGCTACTCCCATTGCCTGAAAGCCTCTTCCCTCCCCACCCCATCTTCCCCCCTGCCTAGACAGCTCGTGCTCAACACGCAAGTCCCAGCTTTGCCATCCCTGTCTTTTTGGGGAACCTTCCCAAGAGAGGGTCCGGGGCCATTTCTGATCTCCTCCGGGATACCCTCTTCACACTGGATTATAATCGAAACCAAACAATCAAATAAAAGTTCCCTGAAACCACGCAGAGACACTGAGCTCTTGATGGGCTTCACTGTTGTGAGAATTAATATCCTCTGATAACTCCACACAGTGGGCACAGTGATCACCCCCTTTTGTCAGATGGGCAAACTGTGATTCAGAGAGGTTGAGCCCCTCGCTCAAGGTCACACAGGGAGTGAGTTGTGGAGTCAGATGTCAGAGCCAGCTCCGTGGACACCCAGAGGTGCCACCCAGATCTGCCTTCGAGGAGAGACTCCGCTTCAGCTGCTGGGAAGGTCTGCAGACAGCTTTTCAGCTAAGAGTACTTTTAAGATCTCCTCAGCCCCGGAGAGCCACCTTGCCCAGAGGGTAGCCCACATCTGGGGACTGGTCAGCATGGGGTATAAAGGCTTGGCCTCCGTGGAGCAAGTCGGGTCAACCCTGTAAGGCCGTTCTAGCTTCAGAGTTCCTGGGGGTGGGTGGCAGTCCTTGCTGGGCCTCAGCTTCTTCTGCCCAGTCCTGCCGCCTTCTCTTGGCAGTTGACCCCATGGCACCTCTGTCCCAAGCAAGCCATGAAGACGCGCACACAGGCCGGGTCTTCCCACAGCGTCAGCAGTATTCGGTCATAGAGCAAGGTTGGCGCAATCATAAGCAGGTTCAGGATTCCAGATTCCATGACACTTCACCACGCGACGAACTCGGCTTCTGACACGGTGCACAGAGGAGGACATAAGACAAGTCACACAACAGACAAGATAACACAGGGGGTGGGGAGTGAACGAACCAGATGTGCGTGAAGTCAGGCTGTGGGTTCGCAGCTGTGATGAGGCCTCAGTCCCATCCAGCTCAGCTCTCGGCACCTGCTGCTGGTTATCCTCACGCAGGGAAGGATCTCAGCTCTGTTTGGGCAGAGCTGGCAGCAGCTGCCTTTCTGAAGTGGTTAGAGAGGCTCGTGTCTGAAGGGTCTGACAGTTTGTGGCAAAAATCCTACCTTTTTAGGGGTGTCTGGGTGGCTCAGTCGGTTGACTGTCCGACTTTGGCTCAGATCATGATCTCACGGTTTGTAGATTTGAACCCTGCATTGGGCTCTGTGCTGACAGCTCAGAGCCTGGAGCCTGTTTCAGATTCTGTGTCTCCCTCTCTCTCTCTCTGCCCCTCCCCTGTTCATGCTCCATCTCTCTCTGTCTCAAAAATAAACAAACTATGAAAAATAATAAATTGTTTTCAATCCTCCCTTTTTAGAAGGGTTTAATCAGTCTTGGGCCCCTGCAGACCCCCTCTGCTTCTGCTTGTGTGAGTTCCGGGGTGCTGTCGGCCGGTGCTGGTCTTGGCCACCTCTTGCAGCTGCATTACCTTTTACTGCTGTGTACGTGCTTGGCATGGGTTGCAGCAGGATTGATCCACAGAGAGTCGTGACACCGAGGCTTTTCTTTCCAGGAAGCACCTTTATTCATGCCGACACAGGCTCAGAGGGCTTGTACCCAAAAACCTGAGTCCTGAACGCCGTGTGGTGTAGCCTTTTACGCATATTCTACTTCCTTGTCTCCTCTATATGGGTAACGTATAGACAGACTGTCTGATTGGGTGGTCTCATGTCACGGGGTCGGGAGGGATGTCATATATGCACAGAGCCAGGTTGCCTTCCCTTATCTTCAGGTCTTTTCTTGCCACATTCCTTAGGGAGGGGACCATACCACATACCTCCCTTTGATGCTCAGACCCCCCTGTTTTGGGTCAAAGAGCATCATCTTAATTAGAGGTTTATATTTTCATCTCATCATCACATGCATGGCCGTTTTGCTTTTGGACCATTGCCTCAGTGAGGCTGGAGATGGACCATACAACCAGGGGACAGTGCTCCCCAAGTCAAGAGGATAATTCCCATGAGGGTTTTGAATTCCCTGAGAATTGAAAACCATCCTGGGAATAACCCCCCTGGGTTCCAGCTTTTCCAGGTCTGGACTGGGACACGAGCAGCCCTTCTCATTCGATCTGTGATCTCCTCTAGGACTTTCCCTTCATCATCTGACTGTAGTCAGCAGTTGCTCAGGTTAAACTTTCCGCAAACTCCTCCCTCACAAGCAAGCAGGTAATTTAAGGCCAAGCGATCTTGATAGACGGCATTGCACACTTTGGTCTGCCGCTTGGCTAGTAAGGTAAGAGCTCTGGCAGTTTTCATTGGTTATAATTTCTAAAACTGCTTTCAGTCTGATTATGTGGCTTAGCATGTAAATGGGGGTGTGGTCCCCCCAGGGGGTGTGGTCCCCCCAGGACCCAACCTCTGCCCAGATGGCAGGGCAATAATATTGGATTATACGCTCATGAGGCCATTCATCATCTTTTCAATCGCCAATTTGTAGGGCACATCGCTCCCTTTGAGTCTCCCTCCCCCCCTACACTTGGACTCCCAAATGCTCCCCTCTGGCAAGTGGGAGCAGGAAGAAAGATGGGCAAACAGTTCTCAGCACACACATAACCCAGATCAGCCTGAGGGAAGTACCACATAGTGTCGGGAGCCGCACCGGCCTCGCTGGATGGCTGTCACAACAAGGAAATGGCAGTGTTTGCACAGCTCCTGGCATGAGAAACAAAAACTGGTATCTCTTTCTGCTACTACTACTGGCTCATGTTGGAAATAAGCCTGCTGGTATTGACCAGGCCTCACAATATTCCATATCAGACCAATATTCCCCGCACAGATACCTCATAAGGAAAAGCACATTCCAGCCTTTACAAAAGAGATTTTAGATGAAAGCCCTGTAGATGATTGTCAAAGGCTCTTCCTATGGGCCTTGCAGATCTAAGACTTAGGTAATAAAGGGGGTTAAGAACACAAGAGTTACAACTGAGCCTGGCCCCGAGACAAAGAGCCTAATTTAGAGTTAAGGAATAGATAAGGGCAGAACTTAAGTTAATACTTACACCTTCTTCTAACCGGTGATGAAGCAAGTAGGCAAGGCCTACTTTCTGCAAACACCCTCCCTTATAGGGGCGGCTGGGATGAGGATAGATAAGAGTAGCTAAAACATAACCCAAAAACAAAGGCCGACACATTTAGGGCCTCCATGGTGTCTACACATTCAGCATCAGGTCAAAAAGGTTTCCACAAACAACTTATTAACCAGCTCAAAAACATTCGTCCTCTTGAGAGCCAAACAAAATGACTCCTAGCCTATCTGTACACTTAACCTATGACCTAACCTTAGCGTTATTAACTTAGAACAAATATGTATCCTGTCTTTTACTAAGAACACCCTGTTAATTCCTTAGTTATAAGATTTACTTAACCTCATTATAATTAGAATAGTTCTGCCAGAATATTCCTGTAAAACCTGCTTCTGTACACTTTCCAAAGCATCTTATCATAAAGAGTTATCCATTGTAAAAATTCCTTTTTATGATGTCATGCTATCATTCAACCTATAAATAAAGACACCAAAACCGACAGGGCAGAGATGCCTGCCTGGTGATCAGAATCTCGGGGCTCTCTCTCTCTCTCTCTCTCTCTCTCTCTCGCTGACACCGTCCATCCTTCAGGGACCCCTGGAGCGGCTGGAGCGGGCCTCCGGCAATACATGCTGTCCTCCCACACACCCGGTACGGTCCCCCTGGGGCCCGCCATTCAATGGCTGCGTCAACACTGTCTCAGGCCTCTTGGAGATGAGAGGTGGGAATCTGGTTCAAGGTGATCCGGGGTCCCCACCATTGGGTTTCCCAGGCAGTTGAGTTATAAAATCTTTGGCCTGAGCATGTTAAGCTTTCAACAGAGGGAGGGAACTTCCTCCCCCACCAAGCAAGGCAGTTTTTCCCCCCCAATAATTGAGGTTTTGAGGAGCTAAACCCTGGTAGTAGAACTGAGGTATTCTTTTTTTTTTTTTTTAATTTTTAATGTTTTATTTATTTCTAGGAGAGAAAGAGAGAGACAGCGTGAGCAGGGGAGGGTCAGAGAGAGAGGGAGTCACAGACTCTGAAACAGGCCAGGCTCTGAGCTGGCAGTCAGCACAGAGCCCGATGCGGGGCTCGAACCCACGAACCGCGAGATCATGACCTAAGCGAAAGTCGGACACTTAACGGACTAAGCCACCCAGGCGCCCCAGAACTGAGGTATTCTATCCCATTATAAGGTTCGCAGGGATCTAATTCTCTAGCCTCCTATCGCCATTGATCCCCGATGTTGGTACCAATGAAGCGTCCTGTCCCCCAAAGGAAGGCGAGTGCTAACAGAAACCTCTCCCCACATGCCCAGCCGGCCGGGGCGGCCTCTGGTGAGTCTATGGTGAAAAGTAGAGCAAGGACCACAATGACAGCAAGAAACAAGGGGTGACAGTGCATCACGGTAAGTGAATAGACATAGAAAATAAGGACAGTCTATTTATTCTACCAGACCGTGGATTCCCCAAGCTTCTGTCACGCGTAGATTGGTCACCTTCGGAGTGACTCCAGCAGGCCCGTGGTCTCCCGGAGCCTCTGGAGTTGCGATCGCTTCTTCCGTGTGGTCAGCCTGCACGGCGTTGATGGACCAAGAACACACTCCCTGTTTTGAGATGTTGGCTTCACTCTGCTGTAGTGAATCCAGGGACCCACCTTGGCCACCTTTACTGCAGTAGGGGTGGACAAAATGACAGTGAATGGGCCCCTCCAGAGGAATTTTAGGCATTGGACATTCCACTCCTTCACCCATACAGCATCTCCTGGCTTAACGGGGTGAGTGTCTGTGGTCAGACTCACAGGTAACCGCTCCCTGACTCAGTGGTGTAAGGTGGTTAGGGTAGAGCCAAGGGCCCACTTCTGTGGCCTTAGGGTTAGATTGCTTATCTTATTTAGATCCCTCCTTAGCCCTTGATAATGGGGGGGGTGTGTCCATAAAGGATTTTATAAGGGGAGAATCCCATCTGCTCTTTCAGCCTCCCGCTTGCAGCTGCACTCTGCCTCCCTGAAGGTCCCTTATCTCTCCCTCCCTGATTACCCCTTTCGCTAATCAGAGTGACTCTTGCTCTCTGCAACCTCCTAACAACGACCTGCACACTACCCTCCAATTGGCTCTGTACCCATCATGAACCTGGAAGCCATTCCCAGAAGTTTGGGGGAAGAGAGGAAAACTCTAACAGTGGAGGAGGAGGCAGGCTGTGTGTCTCCCCGTCTCCCCCATAACCAGTTGGGGTGCAAGAGCACTTGGCTGGGGAAGGGGGGCATCCAAACAGACCAGGTTTGGCCACTGGCTCCTGACAAAATCCGGAGGCGGAGAAACAAGTAGTGGTGAAATGAGAAAAGAATTTATTTCAGTGAGGCCACTGCGGGGAAAAGAGCAAACTAGCACCTCAAAGGCTATCTCCAAAATGCCAAAAATAGTTCCAGGTTTACAGAAGGAAAATGTGAGGCGAAGGTGGGTAGAGACGGGCAGGTAGGCAGTGAAGGTTAAATCAATCATTGTCCTGGAGTCCATCACAGGCGTGTGTGTGTGTGTGTGTGTGTGTGTGTGTGTGTGTGTGTGTCGGTGGGTGGTTGCTGGCTCAGGTCAGTCCTTGCTGCTGGAGGGGATAGTTTCGGTTCCCCTCCTAGGATGCTTTGCCTACAGGGTCTTTGGCCTGAGTCCGGAGACAAGCTGGAAAGAAGAACTCAACTAAAATGTTTGAGGTCAAAATGAAAGCAGCCTTGGGGCGCCTGGGTGCTTCGTTGTTTAGCGTCCTCTGACTCCAGATCTCAGCTCAAGTCTTCATCTCAAGGTCAGGAGTTAAAGCCCATGTTGGGCTCCACGTTGGGCATAGAGCCTCCTTAAAAAAAATGAAGGCAGCCAAAATTCCTCTTCTGTCTCCACCTCGGCTCTCCCAGCTTTTCTTTCTCTCCCAGCACATGTCCATGGGTCACGGACAGCCAGCTGACTTTCAGCTGGAGGCACCTAGGGAAGGAGAACTCTCAATATCCTGCACGCTCGGTTCTTAACACGCTCCATATTTGATCTTCCAAATACGCCTCTGAAGTAGACACTACTTCCTCTACTTTACAAAAGAAACCAAACCAATCCTTGAAATTCAAAGGCCTTGTGGAACTTGTCCAAGGTTACGTGGCTAGAGGATTGGAAGCCGGTTGTCCGATTCCAGGGCTGTTTCTGCTATGCAGGGTGGCTTCCTGCTAGCCTCCGGGGCTGGGGCCCCTGGCCTCTGGGGTGAAGCATGGGGGCCTGGCTCCAGGGGACACAGTTACCAGTCAATGGGAACAGTAACTGTGGCTGCAGAAACCACACCAAGGAAGTGTGGCAAATATGGCAAATTCAGCCACACTGACTTGGGGTCACAGATCCCCTCCCGGGCCCAGGCCCATGTTCTGCCCTCCGTGTGGAGCAGTGCGACTGGATGAGAGGCCACAAAATGTGGGGCATCCCAGTTGGGCAGGGGCGGCTTTGGCTGCTGGTGAAAGGATTCACGTAAGGCAGAGTTTATTGCCTACACCTGTGGGAGCAGCAGGCGGCAAAGGAGAGACTGTCTGCCTCCGGGCAGTGGTGGGGAGGGGGCTATAGTTACCGGATGGAATGAGGAAGTCCGGGGACCTACGGAATCTCCCCTTTTTTGGTCATCTCAGGTAGTAAGACTGGTTGTGCCTGGTTGTGATTGGCCAGGTAGTGCCGATGGCCATGCCCAGGTGGGTGGGCTTAATGGGGGCGAGCCTGTTTGCATTCAGCTCTCCGATTGCTGGGGGCCCTTTGGCTTTGCTCAAGTTTGCATTGCTGAAGCCTGTTGTCCAAAAGCAGCCTCTATCTACACCCTGTGCCCAACTTTTTGGTGCAGCGCCATCTAAGTAATCTCAGCATCTCAAACATTCATGGTATGACGGGCTGGTGAGCACCTCGAGTCTTGCGTTGTAGTTTCTGCCTCCTTGGATCACATTACTGAGATCCGGAATGCGAGTTGGATGTGAGTACGGTGGAAGGTCCCTCTTCTTCTCGGTCACTCGCAGTGAAGGAGCCGGAGAGGAAGAGCGGCTGAGAGGCAGCTCCAAGCGGCTGCAAGAGCACAGTGGGGGGGGGGGGGGGGGACACAGTTTCACGGCCTCCTGGCCCCTGAGTCAAATATAAGGATGTGGTTAAGCCAGAGGCCAGCGCCTCATCTCTGGTAGATGCATCCCGGTCCTCGTCTCCGATGCCGCGGGGCCGCAGGGCTGAGACCCGGCGAGCAGGCAGCGTGCTGGGGAGCACGTGCAATCCCGGGGAGCCCGAGGAATCTGGGGGAGCACGTGCAATCCCGGGCCTGTGGGACCAGGGGCACGGCTCACTGACTTACTGAAATGCAAGCACCGAAAGGCAAATTCAAGCTTGATTTTGCATGGAAAAATCGTGGCAATAAAGGAAGTTCGTAAATAATTTACATGCCCTTTTCTCCATAATGCTAACGATCTCAAAATACACAAACCGTCATTCACAGCAGAAAGTGCCCCTGCTTCCTGGCTCAGTGTGGGCATGAAGAGGATCCCCCGCTCGGGGTTCTTTCAAAGACAAAGATAAACACGTGCGGTGTTTTTTTCCCACCAGGTGAGTCCCTTGCAACAAAGCAAAAAAGGGGTTAGCTCACCACTTTCTACTTCTGCAGCGATTCCAAACCTCGCTCGTAGGAAGGGAAACAAAACCAGATGATTTCCCTCCGTTTTGAATAAAAACAGGTCTGGGTGGAAGGGATTTGCTCTGGAATAAAAGGAAGGATTTGCTTTTAGCTCTGAGCTTTCGCTCTCACTTCTGTGTAAGCTTTGAACCAGATGCACTTGTTTAGAGCCTTGTGTACAGGTTATGCAAGCGAATCACCTGAGAAACGCCTGTGAAAACAAACAAACCCAGCAGAGCCAGCCTGGAGGTGTTGGGTTCTGACCCTAACTTGTGTCCTAGATGGAGCTGCAGACCGAAAGCGCTGGGCACCCCGTCCGCGGAGATCCTGCCTAGTGCGTCCAGCAACCAAATATTTGTTGTGCCTTTCCTTCTTCCTGCCCCGCCCTTTGCAGCTCTGGCACCTACGGGGCTCTGGCCCTGAGGCTTCCAGAAAATCTGAAGAGCCCTCCTTTCCCCTTGGCTATGAAGGTCAGTGGGGTGGTTTGGTTCAAAAACCTCACCTCCTAAAAAAAAAAAAAAAAATCCCACCTATTATAATTTTTTTCCCCCACATTTCCCTATGAACTGTGGAGGGAGTTGGAGATTTTTTTTTTTCTTGGGCTTTTGGCCAAACCACAGAATCTCTCAAAAACACCCTTTCCAAGGTTCTGAGGACATTTTTACCCCCTTTAATTCTGAACATAATTTGTGTTGTAAACTACCTTTAACAACATTTATTACAGGGAGATCTATAAAGTTTTCAAAACATTTTGGGGGTGATGGCCTCACAAAGTTTATTTAATGCAGTTGATCAGCGCAGGGTCAGGAGTGGGGAGTGGGGGTGGAGGGGGTGGGATGAAGGGGGTGGGGAGGAGACATGGGTGCAAACTCCAAAATAAGCAGCTGCCTGAGTCTAAACCTGTGAGGCTTTCCCAGCCCCCATGGCCCAGGAGGGTTGAGCTCCAGTTTTGCTTCTGGATCCTTCTTGGTGACAGACACCAGTGGGGGGTTGTCTGACAAAGAGCATGTGCTGGGCAGAGGGACAGGAGGAGTGATTCTAAAGTGGCTGAGGACATCAAGGTCCCCCACTAACTGCTTTGCTCAACAGCAGGTTGAGACATGTGCCTCCCCGCCTGCCTGATAATCCGAGGGCTTTCCTACCCAGAACCACTCCGGTTCTCTTTACCTTCCTGTGATGCTGTGATTTATAAAAAGAAATATATAGTTGGTCTTGGTCTTTGTTTTGGGCACAAGCTCCTAAAACCCTTCTGGAATTAAAAAAAACAAAACAAAAAAAAAACTTTATTCATTTTGAGAAAGAGAGTCCCAAGCAGGCTCTGCATAGCACAGAGCCAGATGCGGGGCTTGAACCCATGAAACATGAGATTATGACCTGAGCTGAAAGCAAGAGTCAGCCAGCTGCTCAAAGCTCAGCAGACTGAGCGACAGACTGAGCCACCGAGGTGCCCCACCTTCTGGAATGTAGAGCTGGAGAGCAGGCTAGGTGTCTTCTGTTATGCTAATGAGGAAAGCCTCCTGGTAACCTAAGGTTTTGGGCTGGCTGCTGGAAGACTTGCAAGGTTGGAACTTTCCACCTCCCTCCAGACCTCCGGGGAGAGGAAAGGGGATGCAGATCGACTTCTGTTACCAATCGCTGATGATTTAATCAACTATCCTATGTAATGAAGCCTCCATAAAAACAGGTTTCGGAGGCCTTCCAGGTTGGTGAACCCATGGAGATTTGCAGAGAGAGGTGTGTATGGAGACACACGCAAGCCTGTGCCCGTACCTCACCCTGTGCATCTCTTCTGTCCAGCTGATTCTGAGTTGTATCTTTTTAAATTTAAAATTTTTTTTTTTATTTTTCACAGAGAGAGAGAGACAGAGCATGAGCAGAGCAGGGGCAGAGAAAGAGGAAGACACAGAATCCAAAGCAGGCTCCAGGCTCCAGCCTCCCAGCTGTTAGCACAGAGCCCGATGCGGGGCTAGAACACACAACCCATGAAATCATGACCTGAGCTGAAGTCAGACACTTAACCGACTCAGCTGCCCAGGCGCCCCGAGTTCTATCCTTTTATAATAAAGAGGTAATCTAATGAGTAAAATCTCTCAGAAAATACGGATCCTGTATTTTCCTCGAAACACCTCAGCCCTTTACCCTGGCGGGGCGGGGCTTGCACTCTGAGAGGCGCTAGTGGGCTGCAGCCTCCTTTCCCTGGGAAAGTAAGAAACCGCCTTCCTCTTTTATACTCAGCCTCTATCTTCGAGTTAAATGTTTGGGCTCTGGAGCACAAAGGCTGGTTTTGTGCAATTGGAGGTTCTGGAAATGTTCACTTTCAACAAACGTGTTAGCTGAGGCACCCACACACTGAAACCTCTCCTGCTGGGTTTCTAGAGAACTCCCTGCCTCAACCCCTCCCCCCTCCCCCACCCCCCCTTAACACCCAAGCAAAGTTCCGGGGGGAATAGGGACCCTCTCTCTCCCCTTGGGCCCTGGAGGGCACTAGGCTTCTTCTGGTGGCAACAGGTGCCCCCGGGAGGTGCCTGACCGGCCCTCACCTGCTGCACGACATTAGCCTTGGCCTGCGCTGCAGGAATCTCTCTGAGGCAAGGCCCGAAAGTGAGGGGCAGAAAAACTTCACACACAGAAACCTTACACAAATCCGGGGTTTTATTTACATAAAGGAATCAAAAGAAGCCTCTTGGTCAAGCGTGGAAAAGCAAAGCTCGAAGACTCAATTCTCAGTAGGGAGTGGGCCCTGATTAAAAAAAAGCTGAAGACAGAGAAAGGGTGAACGCGTGATCTGCAACACGGGCGCCCGGTCGCCGGGGAGGGGAGCCCTCTGTCTGAGCGGCTTGGAGAAGTCCATCTGGACACAAGAATCTGGCTCCCAGGACAATCCCTGCGAGATTCTGACTTGGGAAATTTCTGGGTTAATTCTTAACCAGACGATACGAATTTCAGGGTCAAATGTGCCTGGCCCGATAGTGGCTCCTGTCTGGGGGTGGGGTGGGGAAAGCTTTCACTGGCGAGGCCCTGGCGGCTCTGGTCCCTTTCTGGGTCACACTTCCATTCCCCCAGGGGGACTCCGTGAGCTTCTCAGGGGCTGGTCGGCATCACTGGGTCCCCCTGGGGAAGGGCATCCTCCAAGTTCACCACAGGCTGCTTCCTGCAGCGCCCTTTGGTCACTAGCGGGCCGTGCAGGCCTGGCTCTCCCTGAAACCCGTCTCTTCTGTCCCCCCCCCCCCCCCAGGTCCCAGAGCCACCAGGCAAGCTCTGATTACCTTCCATGTGTGAAAACGTGCCGTGATCAACCTTCATCATTTGAGTTAAAACAAGACTGTCTGTTTTCTCTTTTCCTCACAAATATTAATGATCCAGGAACTGGATCCAAGTTCAGCTTCAACATGGGTCTCCAGAACGTGAGGTCAAGTCCAGCCACAACTTCCTCTTCCACCCATTCCTTTTTCTGTCCCTGTCTGTCCACTTCCAGGGGCCACCTGGTTGGCTTGACCGGGGAGGCGTGGACACGGAGGCCGCCTCTGCGGGGCCTGGGAGACTCGCTGGGGCAGCGGGCAGGTGTTAATACCCATTCTACAGACCGATCCGAGACCGTCATTTGGGACCTCTGGAGAGTCTGCCGACAGTCAGCACAGTGGCCCATCACGAGCGCTATGGTAAGAGGAGGAGCCTCCTTTCACCCCCCTGCCCAGGGGTCCAACAGCAGGCCGCGGGTCGTCCTGGGGACAAGCTTGGCAGCGCGCGAGGAAAGGAAGCTACAAGGGCAGCTGGTGAGGGCTCACGGGCACCAGAGGGATTCTAAGCACCGGCCGCGGCACCTCTAGCCGCCCAGCCTCCCGGGTCCCTACCCCGAGCTGAAGGCCCAGCGCCGGTAAACCAGACCCGGCTCCCGTACCTCCCCTTTTCCTGTCCACCATCTTTCTGTTCCTACTTTCAGCACACCTGTCTCCTACCTCCTGGGTCCTTCCCCAAATCACACACTTCCCTTGCCAGGCACAGCGTCCCCCTCTCTCCAGAGACAAAGAGCCCTCGGCAGCTTGGCGTGGAGGCACTGGACGCCGTGGGGAGCAGGTGACGGTGCCTGGTAGCGGAGTCAGGAGGCCCACCCGCCAGCCGCAGGCATGCAGCCCCGAACCCGCAGCGCACAGGGCCGGCCCGGGCTCCACGCGGGCACTCCCTCCAGCAGCCTGTCCGACCCAGCCTGCGTGTGAACGTGGCCTCCCCGCTCCCTCATCCCAGCTGCTGCTGCACGCTGGCCTCATGGGAGGGTGGGAAGCACAAACTTGATCTGCTTTAAGCAGTCACACGTCTCCTCAAATGTCTTAAAAGCGTCACAACCTTCTAAGAGATTTTCCTTCCTTGCTTCTTGGTGACGACAGGGTGGAGGAAGGAGATGGGGTGCTGGGCAGACAGACAGCTCCTCTACTGCCCTCGGAACGGAGGGCAAACCGTAATCCCAAAGCGAACACGGGCCTAACACTCTGTGGGACTGTCCTTCGGAGCCACCTGTGTCCCAGAGTCCTGAAAAGCTCAGCAGATGCGCAGGGATGTTCTATTCACAGCATTCATCCAAATCAACAAGGGAAGCCACTGTCTTCCTCCAAGGATTTTGTGGGTTCGGGTCGGAAATGGTCCTGGATTCAGAGGCTCCTGGAGCAGGGGAGCATCCATCCTTTCTGGAAAGTGTCTGCCGCCGCAGCGCCCACTAGCGGACGAACGAGACCACGCTGGTGGCTACTCCGAAGGGGGCGGAGTAGGCGGCGGCGAATCCCTGCAGGCCGATGACCACGTAGTGGCATCCTTTGGTGATGACCTTGCCCACATTCTGTTTTTAGGAAGAGAAGAGAAAAGCAAAGGGGTTGGATTAGGCAACTTTGTAATCCCTCAGACACAACGGTGACTCTCAGGGTAAATGAGCCAGTTTCCAAGTTAGCACATTTCACATCCCTCCATCCCCTCCCCCCCAGTATCAGAACATGTAAGGGCTCAGAACACACATCATCATCTTGCAAAGTAGTCCAAGCACCGTGTATTTCCAGATCAGACATCTCGGGGACAGTAGTCAGGCTGCTAGTTCTAAAACCAAACCAGTGTTGTTTCTTCTTTTTTTCAAGGTAGGCTCCATGCCCAACATGGGGCTTGAACTCCCTGCCCTGAGATCAAGAGTCACATGTCCTACTGACTGAGCCAGCCAGGTGCCCCTGGTTTTGTTTTATGTTTTATTTATTATTATTTTATTTTACTTTTTCCTACGTTTATGTATTTTGAGTGAGAGCATGTGTCCACGCCATCAACACAGAGCCCCACGTGGGGCTTGATCTTACGAACTGTGGGACCATGACCCAGGCTGAAATCAAGAGTTGGACGCCCAAGTGACTGAGCCACCCAAGTGCCCCTTGTTCTGTTTTTTAAACCAAAGTTCACTCTTCTCTGTTCCAGCTGAGTTGCTGCATCATCTGAGGGCTGAGCCAGGTTTTCCTTCATCCGCCGGATCTGAGAGCGGACTCTGTCCTCCCTCTGTCTCGGGGCACATTCCTGTCCAACCTACACATTTGTCTCTAAAGTCTGCTGCTCTGACTGCTGCACCCTTCAGCACAATTGCCACCTCCTTGAAGGTAGGGGCGTCTGGCTAGGTCAGTCCCTTAAGCATCTGACTTTGGCTCAGGTCATGATCTCATGCTCTGTGGGTTTGAGCCCCAGGTCAGGCTCTATGCTGACAGCCTGGAGCCTGTTTCGGATTCTGTGTCTCCCTCTCTCTCTGCCCCTCCTCCACTCACATACATGTACTCTCTCTCTCTCAAAAATAATAAACATTAAAAAAAACAATTCCTTGGGATGCCTGGGTGGCTCTGTCGGTTAAGCGTCCGACTTCAGCTCAGGTCATGATCTCACGGTTCGTGAGTTCGAGCCCCGCATCAGGCTCTCTGCTGTCAGTGCAGAGCCCTCTTCGGATCCTCTGTCTCCCTTTCTCTCTCTCTCTCAAAAGTAAAGAGACATTTAAAAAACAATAAAAACTGGGGCATTTGGGTAGCTCAGTCGGTTAAGCGGCCAACTCTTGGTTCTGACTCAGGTTATGATCTCGCGGTTTGCAAGTTCGTGCCCCGCATCAGGTTCTGTGCTGAGGGTGCAAAGCCTGCTTGGGATTCTCTCTCTCCCTCCCTCTCTGCGTCTCTTCCTGCTCATGATCCCCCCCCCCCAAATAAATGAACAACCATAAAAAAACTAATCAGGAAAGAAACAGTCACACAAAGTCTCTCTTTCACCCCCTGAGATAACAGCCAATAGTCACAAAAGCCTTTCCACATGCCAGCTGGACTCTGAGCTCTCTGCGTGGATAAACTCACTTACTCCTTGCTACAACCCTAGTCTTATCCCATGTTACAGATGAGGAAACTGAGGCAGAGAGGTGGGCACAGCAGCCAACAGGTGCCGGGGCAGGGGCTGGAGCCTGGCGGTGTGGCTCCAGTGTCCCTGTCCTTACCTGCTTGCTGCCTACAGCATGAGGACATTTTTCTCCTTCTTGAGATAAAGGTTATCCCGCACCCGACATTCTCTCTTTCTGAGCCTCTCCTAGCTGCCGGGTGAACTTGCCTGTCCATGCAGAGCCGGATGTGGGGCTTGAACTCATGAACTCTGAGATCCTGACCTGAGCTGAAACCACGAGTCAGATACTCAACTGACGGAGCCACCCAGGTGCCCCCAATGCAACCTCTCACTTTAAAAAAAAATTTTTTTTAATGTTTTTATTTATTTTGAAAGAGAGAGAGAAACAGGCTCCAGGTTCCAAACTGTCAGCACAGAGCCCAACACAGGGCTCAAACCCTCAAACAGTGAGGCCATGACCTGAGCTGAAGTCGGACGCCAAACTCACTGAGCCACCCGGGCACCCTAAGGCAACTTCTCATCTTAAGCTAAGTTTAATCTTTAGTCCCCTTAACCTAGTGCTGCACAGGCAGGCCAGGCGGGACTCCGGCCCCCAGCCCGGCTGCTTTCTAGCTGCGCGGCCTTGAACAGCTTAACCATCTTCAGTTCCAACGTCCATCACTGCGAAATGCCCCCCTCCCCCGCTTTCCAAGGTTTGGGGGACGATCGGGATGTCCCACATATAAAACCTGGCGCCCTGTCACGGATCAGCAAACGTAGGTTCCTCCCCCTCCCCTGTACCCAGAAAACCGCACGTCAATGGCAAGTAAAGCGCCACGTGAAGACACTACTTACAAGCCACCAGGGGCCCCTGACTGCCAGAGTCCAGGCACACAGCCCCTGAGTCTGAGCCTCCTCCGAGAGGCCAGACCCGCTCAACCCTGGGGTCCACCCTGGCTGGGACCACAAGGCAGCAGGCGAGAAGAAATCCGGTCACTTCTCACAAAGGCCAAGTGGCCTTTCTTTAAACCGAAACAGGAAGGGACGGGGGCAGAGGACTTGAACGGTTAACAGATGAATGTGGATGCAGGCGCCCTCGCTTGAAGGAAAAGCCATTCGTTAACACCCTGGAGCGCGGGCGGCCACCACCTATTCCCACGGGCCCAGGAAGGCGCAAACCCACCTGCTGGCTAACGCGGGGACACGCCCGTCCCACACTTCTAGCTCAGGCTTCAATGTTCCCATGGATTTTCCGCAAAGGGGGTGGGATGGGGGGCTGTTTCTTCCTCCACATTGGAACCTGATTGCCTTCCCAGACGCCTCCAAGAAAGCAGAAGTTCAAGCAGAAAGGACACATCCAACTCTAACCTGACAAGGTCCCCTCAGCTGGCTCCCTGTGTCTACCGAGCTAGGGCGGGACACTCCAGAGCTTTCGCTGCCCACATCCCTGCCTGCACTGTTCCCTCCGCCTTGGATGCCACCCCTTCTCTGTCTGGTACATTCGGTCTTTTTGCAAAAAAAAAAAAAAAAAAGGGGGGGTGAAATATACATAACATAAAATTTAATCATTTTGAAGTGAAAAGATTGGGGTACCTGGGTGGCTCAGCCGGTTAAGCCAGTCGACTCTAGGTCTGAGCTCAGGTCGAGTACCACGTTGGGCTCTGGGCTGACAGCATGAAGCCTTCGTGGGATGCGCTCTCTCACTGCCCCTCCCCCGCTCAGGTGCGCATGCAGGCATACGCATGCGCGTTCTCTCTCTCTCTCTCAAAATAAGTAAATAAACTTAAACATTTTTTTTAAAGTAAAGTGAAAAATTTGGTGGCATCTTGTAAAACTTACAATGCTGTGAGACTACCACTTCCACCCACTTCCAAAACGTTTTCACTGGGGCGCCTGGGTGGCTCAGTCGGTTAAGCGTCCAACTTCGGCTCAAGTCATGATCTCACGGTTTGTGGGTTTGAGCCCTGCGTCAGGCTCTGTGCTGAGGGCCAGCTCAGAGCCTGGAGCCTGTTTCAGATGCTGTGTCTCCCTCTCTCTCTGACCCTCCCCTGCTCACGCTCTCTCTCTCTCTCTCTCAGAAATAAAACATTAAAAAAAAAACAAAAACAAAAAACAAATCGTTTTCATCACCCGAACAGAAGAGCCACACCCATTACCCAGTTGTCCATTTCTCCTCCCCAGTCACTGGCAACCGCCCCACCCCCCATCTGCTTCCCTCTCTCTTCATTTACGTATTTTGGATATTCTAAATAAATGGAATCCTACATACATACAACATGTGACCTGTTTGTCTGGTTTCTTTCACTCAGCATGACGTTTTAGAGGTTCATCCGAGACACGGAACCTGAAGGGACCCCACGCAAGAGCTCTCTCTTCTTTCTGCTTCTCGTTTTGCTGGGACCTACACTCTTGCCTTACACACACCTTATAGAACAGATAGCACGTGTCTCTTTTGTAAAGGGCAAGGATGTAATCATTGGCATCTTCCAGCACAATCAGTAACACCTCTAAGGAGTGTCCAGGCACGGTCGTTCTGAGATCGCTGACTCATCGAGACCTCTGCTCCAGGACGTAAGTGACTTGTGAGGATCTACAGCCTCGTCTTTGTTCCCGGCTGCCTGGGCAGATACACGCACCTGACCATCACCCACAGAAAAATCCCCAGGCCCCAAGCACAGACGACACTCACGGTTCTTTCCTGGTCTCCCAGACACTCTGTATCTATATTCTCTCTCTGTGTCTTCAGTAAACTCTGCTATCTCTTCTCGACTCAAGTTTGAGTTCCATCCTGCACGAAGCCGAGGACCCTCCTCGGACGCAGCTACCTGGGTCACATCCATGCTCTAGCATGTGTCAGTGCTTCATTCCTTTTAAAGCTGAGTAATGTTCCATCATACATATACACATCATGCACATACACCACATATGTATACACCACATGTATCAGCTGATGGATAGACATGTGGGCTATTTCTACCTTCTGGCTATTTTGAATAATGCTGCCATGAACACGTGTATATGTTCTATGTGCTCACTCTCTCCAGTATACATTATTTGAGTTCTTATTCTCAGTTATCTTGAGTATATACCTAGGGGTAGAACTGCTAAATCATATGGTAGTTCTATGTTTAATTTTGTCACCAACCACTGACCTGTTTACCACAGCAGCGGGACCATTTACATTTCCCTTAGCAATTCACGGAATTCCAATTTCTCCACATCTTTGCCAACACTTGTTATTTTGTTTTGTTCTGTTTTAATAATAGCCATCCTAGTGAGTGTAAAGTAGTACCTTGTCATTAACCTGTGAAACCTTAACTCAATCTTTTACTTTAGAGATCATCGTTGATTTGAGAATGTCCCTGACTTGGGGCGCCTGGGCGGCTCAGTCAGTTAAGCATCCGACTTCCACCTAGGTCACGATCTCACCTTCCGAGTCCAAGCCCCACATCGAGCTCTGTGCTGACAGCTCAGAGCCCGGAGCCGGCTTCAGATTCTGTGTCTCCCTCTCTCTCTCTGCCCCTCCCCCGCGTGTGCACACACGCACGCGCTCTCTCAAAAATAAATACTTAAAATGTCCCCGACTTTACAACCTCCTCTCTGACGACTCTGTACCATGTGGCTCCATGGCAGCGCCCCAAGTATGCCGGGATCTCCCTGGGAGGTGTGGACTTTGCCAGGGCAGGACTGCGCTGTAGCTATTTTTGTATCTCCAGTGGATAGTACAGTCTCTGCACAGTTAGCACAATCCCTGCACGTCGTGAGCTCCCAACACCACCTTCCAGCGCCAGCCTGTGACCCCAGATGTCCACATTATCAGTTCACCAGCTGAGAGGCAAAGGCTGGCTTGCTTCTTCGTGCTCCACGGAGACCAGGAAGAACGTGCTCGGTCCTAGCACGACTCTGAGCCGGAAAGTCCCGACTTCACAGTTTTTAGTAATACATATACCCCTGCCTGCTCGCACGCCACTCCCAAAGCTGCTGGCTGCTGTTTACAGGGGATAATAACCCGAAGTTCCTAGGAGTGGACACTGGACGGTTTTAGATGTGATAAGAGGCCACTGGCTGACACAGATAATGAGCCAGTCCATCAGACGGCGCCTCCGGCCAGGGCACAGTGAGTTCTGCGACAAGTCTTCTGCTTGGTCCTGTCCAGCCCCAGGGACTGACTCCAGGCAGAGGCACTTGGGCACCCTGGGCTTTGACCTCTGAGAGGGACACTGTCATTTTATCCCATATCAATATTCTGTCTCCCCTTCTCTGTCTCACCCCCTCCTCTTACTCTCCTCCCCCCACCCAAGGCGTTAGTACGTCTGCAGGCCCCAGAACACACCGTAGCCAGCTGGGATAAGAGACAAGTAGATCCAACAAGTCTGTTTATGTATTTGTTGAGCTCCCAGGCCCTGGAAATAACCTTGGGAACATCTGGAGGTGTTAACCCAAACAATTCTCGGCTGGTGGGACACCCCGGCGCGGATGTTGCCAGAGAACAGATGAACTGGCCCCCAGCTCCCCACTTTCCAGCTGGGTCACCGTCTACAAGTCCCCTGACCACCCTAATGCCTCCGTATTCCCATCTGTAAAATAGGGTGACTGACTCCCGTCCTAACCAACTGTACAAGGGAGGGTAAGACACACCGGGATCCGAACCACCGGGAGCGTTGGGACACGTTGGAAAGGTTACCACCCCGCCAGCCCCGGAGTAGCGGATGGATCGGTGCTCCCCGAAAGCTCGGGCTTGGCTTGTGTCATTACTTGCGACTTTACCCTCACCTCCCAGCCGACAGGCGGAACTCTCTCTGGTGCTCTAGTAGCGACGCTGGCGAGGGGACGCGGGGGCGGCCCAGAGAAGCTGAGCGCAGCCGGACGGGGCGGCCCCGACCCCCCGACCCCTTCGGTCCTTCGATCGGTCAGGAAGCCGGGGCCCTACCTTGCCGTACTTCTTCAGCTTCTGCCGGTACCGCCTCTTGGGCTTCTCGCCGGGGGCCTGCTCCTCCAGCGGCTCGTAGCGCTCGGGGAGCACGGCCAGGTGCACCTTGCGCGCGCTCCGGGCGCCCGGGCGCCCCGCGTTCGCCCAGCTCGCCGCCTGGTCGCCGCGCTCCGGCTGCTCCAGGAGGGCGGCCGCCTCCTCGTCCCCGTCCGTCCGCGCCCGCCCCCGGGGCCCGCGGCGCGGGAGGCCTCTCGCCGCCTTGCTTCGGAGCCTGGCTCCCACCGTCATGCTGCCGCGGCCCCTCCGGCGAAGGTCGCGGCTAGAAGACGCCAACCTTTGCGCCCCGCCGGCTCCTGCGCTTGCGGGCCCGGCCCTCCGCCCCTGTCCGGACGGGGCGGGGAGGTAGAGGTGGGGGGCTTGGGTGGCAGCGCCCCCTGGCGGCGGGGCTCAGAATTGCGCGCTCGGCCCCACCCGGCCACCTGGCGGCCAAAGCGGGGAGGGGGGACCCCGAAAGCTGGGTGCGCGGTGAAAGTACAAAACACGTTCATCCGCACCTGCGACGAAATAAGTGAACCCCAAATAACGAGGCTTCATTTGCCGCCTTCAAAGTGGCAGAGGTGGGGCGCCTGGGTGGTTTAGTCGGTTAGGCGTCCGACTTTCGCTTAGGTCATGATCTCGCGGTTCGTGGGTTCGAGCCCCGCGTCGGGCTCTGTGCTGACTGCCGGCTCGGAGCCTGGAGCCTGTTTCAGTCTGTGACTCCCTCTCTGACCCTCCCCTGCTCACGCTGTCTCTCTCTCTCTCCTAGAAATAAATAAAAAATATTTAAAAAAAAAAAAAAACAAAGTGGCAGAGGCGATCATAATAACAGTAAAGATTATACCCGGTGCCGCTGAGGAGGTGGTGGGTAGGATCGTACAATGTTCATGGGATACACACCGGTGACAAATTTTGGGAAAGGTAATCAGAAAGTACTCATCAAGAGTCCTGAACAAAAGGCCATACCTTTCTAGGGACCTATCCAAGAGTAGAGTCAGAACCACAAAGCTCAGTGAGTCCACGGCTGTTAATCTCAAGTCTGACTTCACAGTGAGAAGGTGGAGCCGACCAATGGCGCTGCACAGGCTAAATTCTGGTGCAAGCATATGGCGTCACGTGGTGCCATCAACGAAATCAGGTTTTCAGCAATATCATGCATCTCTTAGTTCATGATGAGTATATATTTTTTTTTACTTTCTAAATGTTTTTATTTATTTTTGAGAAACAGAGAGAAAGAGGGAGAGAGAGACAGAATGTGAGCAGGGGAGGGGCAGAAAGAGAGGAAGGGTGACACAGAGTCCAAAGTAGGCTCCAGGCTGTTAGCAGAGAGTCCCATGCAGGACTCCAGCTGGTGATCTCTGAGATCTTGACCTGAGCTGAAGTCAGAAGCTTAGCTGACTGTGCCACCCCAGGCACCCCTTGGTTCATGGTGAATCTTCGCCTTCTAGGAATGCCTTATTGTCTTATGCGGGTAAATATCTTTCAATTCTTGGAAACTACATGTTAAGTATAAAATAATGTGGGTTGTTAATTTCATTAATATTTTATTATTTTAAATTTTAAAAAATTTTCAGTGTTTACTTTTGAGAGAAAGAGAGAGTGCGAGCAGGGGTGGGGCAGAGAGAGAGAGGGAGACACAGAATCTGAAGCAGGCTCCAGGCTCCAGGCTGTTAGTACAGAGCGGATGTGGGGCTCAAACTCACCAACCCTAAGATCATGGCCTGAACTGAAGTTGGATGAGTTGGATGCTTAACAGACTGAACCACCTAGGTGTCCCAATTTTACTAATATTTTATACTATTAAAATGCATTATACATTTAAGAATGATTTGGATATGTTGCTGTAAGTACATATAATATTTACAATAGAAATATAAAAATATTTTTAAAGATTATTTTTAATTTGTGGTCTTATTTTTTATTAAATTTTTTTAAATGTTTAGTTATTTTTTGAGAGAAAGAGAGACGGAGTGTGAGTGGGAGGGGCAGAGAGAGAGGGAGACACAGAATCTGAAGCAGGCTCCAGGCTCTGAGCTGTCAGCACAGAGGCCAACGCGGGGCTCAAATTCACGAACTGCCAGATCATGACCTGAGCAAAAGCCAGACACATAACTGACCGAGTCACCCAGGTGCCCCTAATTTGAGGTCTTCTATATTAAATCTCTTTTAGTTCAAAAGGTGATCAAAATAGCATAATAGAGAGGATAAATTAAACATCTGATTCATATTTTAAAGTATTTTCTTTAAGGGGCACCTGGGTGGCTTAGTCGGTTAAGTGTCAAACTTTCACTTGGGTCATGATCTCGCAGTTCGTGGGTTCGAGCCCCACGTCGGGCTCTGTGCTGACTGCCAGCTCAGAGCCTGGAGCCTGTTTCAGAGTCTGTATCTCCCTCTCTCTCTGACCCTCCCCTGCTCACGCTGTCTCTCTCTCTCTCTCCCCTGGAAATAAATTTAAAAAAACACAAAACATTTAAAGTATTTTCTTTAAATAATGTGTCTTTGGTTATTGTCCAGATCCCACTGAATGCAAAATTGGGAATTTAAGGCATATGACATATTTTATTTCTGCCCCAAAGGTAAAGAGCAAAAACTTCAGGCAAATACAACAGAAACACGGGATTGCAGTTCAAGGGTATTATGGCTAA